CATACATACATACATACATACGTGGCTGCATTGCGTTTTGGCGGAATCCCCTCTTGCACGCTGGACCGCTGCGACTAAATCCAACGCGATGCGACTTATCCCTTGAACCCAGTACAGGATTGGATTCCCGCATTTGCCTGGAGCTAGGTGCTGGTGGTGTGGACCTGAGTTTAGTCATGAGGACTGCATTTGGAAAAGAAGAAGCAAGTGCCACGACCCCGCCGCCCTCGGTTCCTGGCGTATGCCGAGCGCCGCCACGAGGGGGCGAGGCACTGCCCGAACGCTCGGGCCTGGCCTGAGTTGCATGTCGCTTTGCCAAAACGTCCATAAACCCAAACTTGCGAAGCGAGGCACTCGCACCGAGCTCGTCAGGCCCCGTGCCGTTGCCGGGAAGCTCGGCACTGGGGGCGTGCCACGTGCAGGAATGCCATCGGCTCCAGATCTCGGTGAAACTTTCGGAACTGCTCGCGGCGGTGTGCTGCGTCCCATTTTTGGCTTCGGCGGGGTGGTCCTGCCTGTTAAGCCTGCCGAGCTCCTTTCTTGTGGGGCATATCGGCTCTGACTTGACCCCGCTGGCCGTGCTGGCGCTGGCGCTTTACGCTCGGGAGGCTCACTCCGCTGGGCCCAAGTTGGCCGATCATTCCGCCAGTGTGGTCGCATGGGGGGAGGTGTCACCGCGCGCTCTGCGCAGCGTGGCTTGGCTTTGGGCCGTGGAATCGATGGCCTGGCCTTCGCTCCCAGGCGGGAGCCCTCTTCTCCCTTGAGAATGGACTCGACCTGCAGCAGACGATTCCGCTCCTCCATCGATCGCAGATTCGCTTCTTCTTGCAGTCGTTTGTTCTCAGACTCCAAGGAGATGATGCGACTCTTGAGCTCTGCATGGGACTGTGCCAACCGAGCAAGCGTGTCTGAGTACAGGCCCTGTCCAACATCTTGTGGCTCCGGAAGCTCTTGATGCGGACGCTCAGGTGTTGGCGGCAGTAGCCCCAAACCTCAGCGAAGTTTGCGGTTCGCCGAAACAGGATACTCCAATTTGGATGCCGAGGGACCAGTCGGGCTTGGAGGGTTGTCCGAAGCTTGGAGAAGCCTCTGATTCGCCTTCTGACCCGGGCTGGAATGTCCCCGTGGGTCCTGGGCAAAGTTCAACTTAAACGGCCCCTTCTGCGCCTGCACAGGCAAAACCTGTTAGGCGTCCTTCTGCAAGTCCTCAACAGCTTTCAACTCCTCCGTCTTGCTATGGATCTGCTCACTGAGAAGGTGCATGCCTGCTGCAATTACAGCCTGGCCCTGGGCCCTAGGAGACATAAAGCGGTACTGAACATGGCTCTGCCAGTGTCCCTCTTGGCCTCGGGTCAGCAGTGACAGCTTCTCCTGCAGGTCCCGGGAATCGCTGGGCCTCTCCACTGCCTCTGCGAAGGCGAGAACGAGAGAAACTGACACAAGCCGAGTGAATCTTTGCCTTGTTCAAAGCGCGAAGCTGGGTGGGGTATGGTGGGGTTCCCTGATTCGTATGGTGGCATGTCCGTCCAGGAGCCTTGTATGGGCATGGCTTTGAGAAGCTTCGCTAGCGGAGGCTCTGCCTTCGCGATTTTGACTCGTAGCCTGGCCCTTTCCCGAGACTGGCTGAGGTGTCAGGATGCTGGGCCAACTACGTTGATCCTTGAACCGCCTTCGGTTGTGCCTCTGTCTCGAACCATGAGTTATTCGTGCAGCGATTCTACAGAGCTCCTCGGTCAATGATCAGACCACACCACCTTGACATGACATACATTGCCAAACTGCTGCTCTCCGAAAGAGCCATAAAGCCTTCGCCTGCACATGCAAGTTGCAGGCCTTGCCGTCACCCAAGACTTGCAGCACCTGGACCCAAGGTGCAAAGTGCAAAATCCAAAAGCAAATGCCGCGTGGCTCTCGGTGTGGGATGGTGTGGGCACCTCGGCGAGCTTCGCGTCGTCGGCCCGGTTTTCACCACCGTCTACCATCAAGGAAAGCGCCTGGCAAGACCGTCTACAGCGAATTCAAGGCTTTCAGGATCATGCCTCCTGTTCGATGATCTCGATGCATTGCCTTGCGGCGCTCTGTTGAAGCCTTTTTGTTTTTGAACAAAACCCATCGTCTGTGTACCGCCGAAACGGCAACCATCCAATCACAAGCGAGCACGACTTACCACTATCAACAGCAACATTGCAGTCAGACCGCTTGACGATGTCTAGGTCGTTCTCGTCTGCGGCCATTCTGCAGCGACAACCGGCTGCCTTCCAGGTGTCTTCGGCAAGACGGCAGTCAGCGTTCTTTCAGTTGAAGTTGTGCTGCACAAGCAACTCGCCAGCAGCAGTGCGTCACTGACGCGCAAATGCTTACAAGCTGCTGTTGCCAAAAACCCTGCTTGAAAAACCTGCCTCGGACCCCAAGCCGTCTACATCGCTGCTAAAACCGAGAAGACGGCTGCGGCATTGATTGTCACTGTCCCAGGCGTCAACTTTGCAAACATCGCGTCGGACATGCCATCCCTTCGCCATGACAGAATGCTCATTCCGCTGAGGCATGCTGTCTTCCGTTGCTGGAAACTTAATTGGACGGCAACCCATCATTAAGTGTTCTGCGGATTCTGCGGTGTGTTCACCCCTCCACTTCGTCGAGTTCCGGCAAACTGTCACTTCCCTGATCTTGACGGTCTTCATCTATGAATCCGTGGAGATACGATTTGCGGAACCTCGCTGAGATTGTCGCAGTAAGAGAAGAACTCGAGCACCTCTCGACAAGTCTGCGTGACTCCGGTGTAAGCACTTGATGTCGAAGAACCCTCTGTGTGCCAAAACGGCATGTGGTTGTGACTGCTAACTGGCTGCCAACATCAGGCGTGGCACTCCACAATATCTTTGCAGAGCCAGGAAATACCTGCCAGCCAGTGGCAAACAGTGGTTTCTCACTGCGCAGAGCAAGGCTGCTGGCATGCTGACTTGGACGGGCAGCGTGCATTTATGTGCATTTACACGACACACAAGCAGCGCCTCCCTTCCCGGAAGAGTCGAGACCTCCGGGCTAAACATCGACCGCATCCTTCCATGCTGCACGAAGCACCCTGGGTCGACCACCCGGTCTCTTTCCGCTCAGCTGCATATGCCATCTTAGCCAAAGCAGAGAAGGGTGACAAAAACCAACGCAAACACTGCTAGAATACGTTCTTGGCCCAGGACTTTGTCCGCCTCAGGCATCTCCTTGGATGCTATAAAGTGCAGGTTCCCATTGATCGATCCCAGGACAGCGACTTACGGGGCCTTTTCAATAAGAAGCCCCAAGATCGTTCCGCTGCGACGTGACTTCGACCCTCCCTGCTCAAACATTCGTTTGCCTGTGTGCTGACAGCACTGCATTGATCATGTGCTGCTAGGCAACGTAAGTGCCCCTCGGGTTTCGGAAGCTTTTAAGCTCCACTTTGAAGATGGCCTCCGCTCTGCAGCTCTTAGTGGTGGGTCCAAGTCAAGGACAGAGCATGATCACCGTCCTCCTCTCCATCTTGGATGGAAAGCTTCAATGCAGGATCGAGACCTGAGCTCACTACACCTCTCAGCAGGAATGCCTCCGAAGTTGAAATCGTCGGACACAGAAGGCCTACAGTAGTTGGGGCCCAATACATGTGACATGTGCAGTTGGTGACTTCGCCCAGAGCGGCAGGAAAGGCCCGAGCACATAGATGATGTTGAGCAGGTAATAATCGCTCGCTCACCTTTGGGGAAGCGAAGAGCAGACCGGGCAAGGCAGACGCTGGCCCGTCCCTAGCCGGCTGATTGTATTGCAAGCCTGCAGCAGCAGCTATACCCAGGTTGTCTGGGTTGAATTCTGAGAAGAGGTAGCATTGTCTAATGCAGATACGAAAAGAATCAGATTCCGAAGCGGGCTCCCGCTTTGCTTGAAAGGATGCTGCAGAGCCCTTGTGGCTGTGAGCCCCCTGCCGTGATCGACTTAGTCTTTAAGAATGTCTTCAGCATTGCAAGTGCCTTCGTTCATCTGCCGGACGGCAAGCTCCAACGCATCGCAAACGTAGCCATCGCCTTCAGGTGCATTGTGCGCAGAACAGCATTTGATCGAGAATGTTCGCTCTCCAACAAGGAAGCTCAGCTCTTGAGCTCGAGCTCCGAGCCAGCTCGAAATGTGACTTCCTGAGAGACAGGACTTCAAATTAACGAATGCAGCTCGTGTAGCAAGCTAGCAGCATGCATCAGCATGCATCTTGAACATCACATAAATGTAGTGTGCTAGCATAAGGCAAGCGCATTCGGTCCATCGAAACAAGCGATCAGAGCGCCTGTGCTGCCCTTCACTGCCTTGCCGAAAGTGAGAAGGAGTTTACAGCGTTGCATGCATCTCTAGCCTAAGAGCAATGGATAGCTGCATTGTCGAGTTTCTGGACGAGCTTTCCTGCCTCCACGATCAGAACGCATTGTGCAGTGTCGCGGGGCGACTCGTTCTTGACACCCTGGCCGGTGGCTTTGACATGGGCGGAAGGTCAATGGATACGGGCATCCAGTTCAGTCTAAACCTGTTTGTTTGGGAACGCGGAATCGTGTTCCGGCATGTTCTGCCCGAAACCAAGCTTTAAATTCCTCACTTCTTGCTCTCCGAACGCCCTTCGAGAGCAAGCATGTATCTACCTGCTCGGTTCGCTGGCCCGCAATATTGCGTTTGGAGAGAGAGAGAGAGAGAGAGAGAGAGACAGAGAGAGAGATACATATGATAGATGGATAGATAGATATATATATATAATATTATATATGGGGCGGTAGTTGAGTCATTTAATTCCACTCTTAGTTCCACTCCAATGCATGCCCAACCCCTCCAACAGACACACCGCCCGCCACCCTGCCCGCACCGGCCCTCCTTGGCTTGTTTCCATGGTATTTTGGTGGTAGTTGAGTTATTTACTTCCACTCCAATGCATGCCCAACCCCTCCAACAGACACGCCGCCCACCAAAAGACACACCGCCCCGCTCCGGCCCTGCTTGGCTTGTTTTCATGGTATTTTGGTGGTAGTTGAGTCATTTACTTCACCTCCAATGCATGCCCAACCCCACCGAAAGACATACCGCCCACCACCCTGCCCGCCCCGGCCCTCCTTGGCTTGTTTTCGGTGGTAGTTGAGTCATTTACCTCCACTCCAATGCATGCCCAACCCCTCCAAAAGACACGCCGCCGCCACCCCGGCCCTCCTTTGGTATTTTGGTGGTAGTTGAGTTGAGTCATTGTAATGCCAGCCGGCGAGCATCATAAGCACTCGGGGCGCCCGCAACCCGCAGCGCGAGGTGATGTTTTGACAATTTTTGAATGGGTTTCGGAAGCCCTCAAAGGGCGCGCATCATCAGCATCAGCGGGGTTCGGCGGAGGGGGTGCGTTGCTCCAGGCTTCTACCTGCGCTGCCCGCCCGTGCCCTAGAATATAGGTATCACTCACCATGTGGGTAATTACCCTTTGTATCCGAAGTGCCTGCATCCCAGATTTGCGCCACGTGGGAAGCACTCACTGGAGAAAGATCTCCGGTGATCCGCATTGATCCCCTGCTTTCAGGGTTCACCAATAAGCTGGCTTGGCATCCAGGCGGCCCATGCAGTGTACGACTCCCTTGGTGACATTTTCATCTTTTAACCTTGTGATGGTAGACCGCGAGAGTTTCGGCAGATGCAGTCCCTGTAGTATAGCATAGTATAGAAGCGAGGAGCGGCTGTTCTTGCGCCCTGCACCGTAGCTGGCCATTTCCTGATGCAACACGACATGCTTTTCCATGTGCTTTCGATCGAAGAGGTTCCTTGTCCTCGAATGTCCTCGAGGTCACGACGAGCTGCAATGGACATCCGAACGTCCACTCGCTTCAGGAGACGAATTACGAGGATAAGCTGGTGTGATCATGGCCAGTCCACAGTGTTCTTCTGGTTTGAACGACGAGACATGTTTACAGCTTGGAAGCCCGATGCATCTCGCTGCAAGCGATGTAGACCGCAAACTTGGGGACAGAATGCGGATTTCCCAAATGTGCGAGGACGGACCTCTCGAACTTGCTTCTTCTTCACCTCACCGGTTTTGTTCGGTGTCACGTCCTGCAACTGCAGCACTCCGGAACGCGTGCAAAATCACATCTTCTCGCTAGACCCCTGTTTATGCAACTGAGCGAGTAACTGTGTCTCTTGCACGCTGGCGGCTCGATTTAGCAGCCCAGAAGGAAATCCAATTTGAAGTCTTGGCTTGACATGTCGGTGCCTGATTGTAACTACGACATCCCATCTCAAACCCGCTGGACCTCTTCCATGTACACTTCGTGCACTTCAATGCGGATTGTGACCTCGTGCCACCACTTCGCATGACTGCCAAACATGGAGTTCTGCCCTCTCGCGCTCAAACTCTGCACATGTAATGCTACAAACAATCCCAAGCCACATGGGAGGGATGGCAAGACGGCTGGTCACAGCCATGAGATGCCATGACGAGTGTGCACGCATGTCTCCATTATGCAGAAGCACATGCGCACATGCGTCTGTGCATGCGTGGGCAGTGCGGTAGGCTTCCACCACGGCATGTTCCGGGGTCTTGACATGGCAAGCACAAGACATTTCTTTGACAAGCAAGGAGCTTCTCCGTGCGAATCATTTCCGTAGGCGTATTTCGGCGAGCACCTTCCACTTGAGCTGAAGAATCAAGAATTCTGCAAACTATGAACCCAGAATGTCTGAACCATGGATCATCTGGCGACATGCCAGCACATCGCTGGGAACTGCACCGAAGCTTGCCTGACGACTTACGAATGCCTCACAAAGAGAATGGCCTCAGCTCCACCAGGCCGCCTTTCCTGGCAGAGGCAGTTCTAAAAACTGCATCCCGTCAACTCGCGAGAAGACTGGGTCATTGCATGATCTGTTTGAATTAAGGTTCTCTGAGTTTGACTTAACTCTAAAATGTCCGGCAGTTTAGCGTCTCCTGAGATTGCCTCAATCTGTGCATCACCCAATAAATGGGTCTTTGTCTGCGTGAGGAGTCTTGACAGGGGCACGAAGAACTCGAACCAAGATGTTCCACCAATTGGTACCAATAGCCGAAATGTATGACACTGTATACTGATGCAAGGCGCAAGTTCCAAACGCTTGCTGCACTTGGTGCTTTTTTGCCGATCTGTATGGGCGCCCCTTCGCCTCTGGCTCTGCCGGGTACTCAGCTTTCATTGCAGGCAAGGAGGTCTGCAAACGCAATGGCCAGGCATTTCCTGCCTCCCTCTAAACCTGTGCGATTTATGGATATCCTTGCGGCCACTAAGCTAGACCACAAAGACATTCGGAGTCCTGAGCAATCGGGCTGATGTAAGCCGGAAAGACTCATGTGAATGTAACCCCACCCTTCATCTGAGGCTCGAGTCGTAAAGAGACACACAAAGAAGCAAGGCTGAGGTCTCCTCTGAAGAATGTTTGAATGCAAGCAAGCATTCGTGAACCGTGAGTTCCGGACCCGTCCGTGCTTCCCATGACTGTCAGTAGAGTTCCACATGCTAGGCAAGTGAGACTGATCTGGATTTTGGGGTTTGACGTGTCCTTGGGCTGTGCTCTCTGGCTTGGCGCTGGTAAATCAGATCGCGCAAGGCGGGCCCGTACTACTATCGGTCTACCACGGTCGGTGCTGGGCATGCGTGCGCATGCCACTTCTCTAATTATCAAAGCGGGTAAGCCGCCACTCGGATGACATGCGTTCGCTCCTGGTGCGACTCCTGCATGTCTCTCGTTTCCACGTCGCAGGCAGCTTTGGCCCAATTTTTGCCTCTCTATCTCTCTGACACAAGCACACGCCGTGCGTATTGTGATCCCCGTACATCCTGAAACCCCCAAATCCTTCCAAAGCATTCTTTGCATCGCAAGCCTTTCTTTAAGGCAGAGTTAACTCACGGCGCATCGCTTCACTCGCGCGCTCAATAGTCCATGTGCGGACATGCCTCCGCAACAATCTGGCCTGAAATTTTGGCGGTGTTCCGTAGCAGGCGAAACCGCAGTGTCGTTCAGGAACCAAGCAAGGCCCTAAATGAGACGGTGTTGGAATCTCCCGAAACGGCATACAATGGCGTACAGGCCCTCTGCAGCGGTGGTATACGGCCCAAGCGGCGTCGAACTTCTGGCTCTGCAGCTAATAGACGAAGACGAAAAGCTCTGTCTTCACGTGCCTGCAGATCTTTTCTCAGCATATCTCAACATCAGCAACTTCGGCAACCAAATGCAACCAGCCAAAGCCCGTGCCAAGAGCTCGTCCGTTGCACAGTGATCTGAAGCGGCTGGCAGCACTGCAATTCACGTCACAACCTCCTCCTATCATCTTCTAAAGGCGCTTGCATGTTTCGACAAACGAAAGTCTACAGCGGAAAAGACTTGCTTGCATTTGGTATTTGGTTAGCGCTGCTGTTGGGATGGCCTGGGAGGCCTGGCAATCTTATGCTCTTTGGTTTTGTAGGCTTCCCACGGCTTCGCATCTAGGGCCTAGGGAGTGATTCCATCCTTTTTGTGGACTCTCGGCTTCCTTATTCCTGAGAGCTGCTGGCTTTGAAGGCTCTCATAAGCTCCCCGGTCCCCCATAGATGGTCGATGGGCTGGGCGGTACTACAGTAGTGAAACGGACAAGAACCCACATCACCTGAATCATCAGCCTGCTAGGGAAAGGAAGCCAAATTCCTTGGTCGGCTGAGAATGGGAAGTATCTCCCAGTGCCACGCTTGAACACACGTCTCGGAGAGGGGCATGGTGCTTCAAGACAAGGTGCTGCATAGATTGCGGCAGCCAGATCATAAAGCTTCGGCAAAATCTGTTCCTTAGTCAGAACCGGAAACACTCCAACGTTGAGTCTCCGGCCTCTATGCCGACGGTCCTCCCCTACGATGTAAGCCCAAACCAAGCCGAACATCCTGAAGCGTGACTACATGTAAAACCCTGACAGCGCACAGCCACTACCTGTTGCAGTCCAGTGATCGCTGTGCAAGGTCCACTTGCTGTCTGAGTAGTTTTGACAGTTCCCAACGACAAAAATAACGCTCTGGTCAGGCACTGGCTTGCTGCCGCGAGGCATCCCAGCCCTTGCGATCAGGGCTGCCTTCCTCAAAACATCAAACAACTTCGCACTTCAGCAGGTCAGTCAACGGGCTGTGCAACCAGAGCTGCCCAATCTGTACTGTTACTCAGGTCCGGAACTGAAGAGCTCGCGCAAGTCTGAACTTTCAAGCCAAGTTGCTGAAAAGTCGATGCGCGTGATGTGCAGTACATTGCCTTTGATGGGGCATGCATACATGTGTGGGTGTAAGCAGGTAGGCATGTAATTGGTGGATGATGTGGATGCATGTGGGCATCTCGCAGGTCGTTTCAAAAAACGAGTTGCCTTCGTGGGCCCTTTTTCCACATCGACATCACCGTCGGCTTTTCGCGACTCGACACAGCCACTCCCATCTCTCTGTTGCGCTCTCACTACCCCTCTTGCTTGCTTGCTGTTTCGGGGATCTGTACGTCCAGCGTCCAGCGTTCAGGTCGGCGTGAAACTGGTAACAAGTGGTGGTAGTGGTAGTGGTAGTGGGAGTGGCAGTGG